CCAGGATGGTGGCATCTTTTAGTGGCGATTGGCAGATGAGGATGTCATTTGGTAGAATATTGCTTGAGGTATATTTTAGGTTAAATCTACTTTTAGTTTATGATGTTGAAATTAACAAATTGATTCAATTCATATTATTAATCTATATATACTATAATTCAATTTAGTGTAATGTTCGGTTTCATTAACAGTTGATCCGATAATAATGTATTTTGCTAATGGAAAGTTCGGGGTTAGTTTTTGGCATTCAAAGATTGAAGATGTATCGGTATATGGTTCTTTCTCTATATTTATGTTTGAGTAAGGTGGACATATATATATATATATATATGTGTGTGTGTGTAGGTGTGTATATCTGTATTATTTTTGAAAAGATTGCATGGTAAGCCTAATTAGGTCGGCCATGGACTTGCTATAAATAGCAAGTGCATTTGAATGGAGGAAGTTTTGGACTGACTTGAAAAATTTACAATTCTCTTTCAAAGAAACGTAGGTAACCAAAGAGTAGAAACAGATTCCCAAAATTTAATTCAAAGGCAAAGGTGAGTTCTACTGCTTTCAGTATATCCGGTTATCATATGCTCATGATACAATTCAATTTAGTATTGGTTTATTATGTTCTAATGTGATTTACTGCATTTGAATACTGCTACTTTATCGCTTGATTAACCTCTTAAGAATAGCACTCATCGGACAAGCCTGTCCGGTGAGGCCTTTCACCAGACAAAGCATTGTCCGGACACGTACCTTCACCGAAAAAGTTGTCCATAAAAAACCTCTTCGTTCAATGCATGTCCGGATAGTACTCTCATCAGACAAAGCAGTGTCCGGAAAGAAACCTCACCAGTTAAGGCACATCCGGATAGAACCTTTATTGGTCAAAGTGTTGTCCGGATAAGATTAAGCTTGTCTGGAAACCTCCTCTTCGGACATAGTATTGTCTGGACATAACTAAATGTTTCACGTTAATCTCTCTTAGAAGTAAAGATGAAATTGTGGTGTAACTACGATAGACGAAATGGCGGTGTAACCACGATAGACGAAATGGCGGTGTAACCGCAATAGATGAATGATGGAATGTTATATTAAGATCCAGGTTTGATCTTTCTTGGATTTTGAAATAAGTTATGTTTTGTATAAGATAAATTTACTCACTAGGCCTTTTGGTCTAACGCTAAGTTATTGTACTAATTTGTTTTGTAGGCCGTCCATCATCTCAAGATAAAGGCAAGGGAAAAGTGTAAAAAAGTGTTATTGAGAAGAAAGTGTTATAACTAAAAACATTTTTGTTAATCCATACTTTCTCTTGTCATGTAAACATACTTTGAAATGTATTATGATTTTGGTATGGAGAATATGGTAATGTATGATAAAATTTTCGTGAATCCGTACTATTGTTTACATAGTGGGTTGTTTCAGTGGTATCAAAGCCTTAGTTTAAGGGATCTGGATATTTTCTTGATACGTAGACTTAAACTAGAGATGTGGAATATGTGATAATAGGTTTCATTGGGACTATGAACCTGGGAATATGTTATAGTTGAACCTATTATGATGATAAGTATGATAAAGTTAGATTACATAAGATTGATGTAATCTTGAGTTACAGATACTTGACCTATAAGTAAACATGTTATCACACTTTGGTATATGAATAGCCGTTTATGTGTTTATTGTGGCAGAAAGAAAGTTAAAGTAACACCCGTATTAAGAAAGAATGGCAGATAAACTCAATCGCTTTAAAAGAACCTCTACTAGCCATGGAAGAGGAAGGGGAAGAGTAAAATAGAGAAGAAGACCCATAAAATGCTATGAACATTGAAACATGAAGTCAAAGTCGGGGACGAGGAAGGGGAAGGTGTAACATCCACCTATTTAAATATGCTTAACTAATAATTATAAGAATACCTTATGTGAAAATTAAAAAAAAAAAATTGCTAAAATGCTAAAATGCTAAGTATACTAGTGAGCTATAAGTAGAACTCATAATTGGAATGAGATGTAGAAGGTAAGATTGGTGCTAACACCTCAAAATTGACATAATTAGATAATGTGAGGGTTCAACATACAAAGTACATTGCGTACATAATAGTTGGGTAGGTATCTAGAGTGTCTAAATGAGAAAAATCTACCCAAAACTTGAATGGAATATCTAAATGGTGATCTAAATGTTGGAACACCTTTGAATAAGTAAATATGAAGTGTTAGAATTGTCGGAAGTCGAAAAAGTCGCGTATATTGCATTTTATGCAAGTTTTTCAAATTACGGTATGATTTCGATAAATTACATGCACAATACTCAATCGGGAGGTTTTTGATAGGATGTTAAGCTGTGGAACTAAGTTTTGGACCTATTAGGAGTTGTTGGAGGTGTCGGGAAATTTTTACGGGATTCCGAACTCAAAATCAAAAACGACAAAATTTCAAAGGAAAGCATAACTCGTAGAAATATGAAAACTGCTGTTATTGGGAGGTTTTTTATGAAACTTTTTTTTTGTAAATTATAGATTATCTTGTTTTGAATGCGTAGGTGAAAACCTTATCGAAAACGGAGTTTCGAGCGAAAAGTTATGTAATTTTGTGTTTAATGGTCAAAACGGGTACCCAGCCGGGTCAAACCGACCCAACTCGGGTTTTAGACATATAAACACGAATTCAGCCCCAATTCTTCCCCATTTTTGTTTCTAAGTTTTTGTACTCTTCAAGGGAACCAAACTTGGGTGTTTTAGCAAGAAATTGGTGAAATTTTGCAAGATTATTGAAGGTATGCTTCCATTTTTGATAATGTATTCACTTTGAGTTCAAGAAACCATGAAATTAGGGTTGCATGTTGAGAATTATAAGCTGAAATTTTGATATTGTGTAGGATATGTAATACATAACTTATTATCTTGCGGAAATCATGATTAGATAACAAGAAATAGTTGTGTATACATGATATGGTTTGGGAAAGTTTGACTTTTGATAGTCAACCTTATATGAAGATGAACTAGGTGAATGTTTAGTAAAATAATGATGGATTCATGATAATATCATATAAGTTATGGTAATATAAGACTAATATATGAATTTGGTACAAAATGGTTTGGAACTTGAAAAGGTGAAAAATAACTATTTTCGAGTTTGAAAGTCTTGGTATAAGAACTGTTTTAGAAAAATCGTATAAAATAGTAGAAAAATCCTAAAAATATGTACAAATAGGCTCTGGAAAGGTAAGAAAAATTTCTACAATTCATATTTAAAAGTTATTTAATGATTTTGAGCTTAAGAAGATCAAAACAGGTCTGCAAGTAAGTGCTGTAAGGAGAAAACTAAAGTAGAAAACTTGAATTAAAAAAGGGTTAATTTTATGTTATTGTTGTGCATTGTTAATAAGACTTTATATATGAACTCCAAGTGTTATTTAAGCATAATTTAAGGCCTTGGAAGTGCTTTCCAACCACTGAACGGGAGTTAGGATTCGAC